CTCCTAATCGCTATTTCAGTCTTTCTATCTTTCTAATTACTTCTCTATCTGTTTTCTCTCTCTGTCTATTTTCTCTTCACAAAAAAACAAAAAACAAAAAAAAAACATAATGGTGTGGAGAGGATGGCTATAAGGGGATAAGGGAGGCCATCCAAAAAAAAAAGAGGAAAGGACAAAGCTCTACTGAGTCTCTTCAGGATAACCAAACTGCTCACCCTATTTCTAAAGGACAGTCCAGGTACCCCGCTGAGAACACTTATGACCACTTATGTCTGCAAACTGGTTTCTTTGGTTTCCCAACGTTTGTAACCATAGTGAGGGTAGGAACATAGACTGACATGTAAACACAAAGCTTCTCCTCACAGCTCAGCTCCCTCTTCACCCCAACAGACCAGTACAGAGTCCACAAACCTGCAGAAGCTGCACCGATCTGTCTCTCATTCTCACGCTCCATTCTTCCCCCACTCATGAACAAGACCCCAAGATACCTGAACTCCTCCAGTTGAGGCAGAACTTCACCCCCAACCCAGAGAGAGCAATACAGTCTTCTGACTGAGGACGATGGACTCAGGTTTGGAGGGTCAGATCCTCGTCCCAGCTGTGAACGGCTCCAGTGAGAGCTGAAGATCACAGTACGATGATCCCACCAGGACCTGCAGACACCAGAGACTATGGGGTTCCATTTGTTTCAAAAATACGTAGAACTCTAACGTATGGGGTTCCATTTGTTTCAAAAATACGTAGAACTCTAACGTGTAGATGTGTCGTTGCTATGTGTCGTTGGTCTATGTCGTTGGTCTATGTTGCATGTAGAAGTTGCATATGTGTTCGCTGCATATGCAGAAGTTGCACATGTCTATGTTGCATATGTGTTCGCTGCATATGCAGAAGTTGCACATGTCTATGTTGCATATGTGTTCGCTGCATATGCAGAAGTTGCACATGTCTATGTTGCATATGTGTTCGCTGCATATGCAGAAGTTGCACATGTCTATGTTGCATATGCGTTCGCTGCATATGCAGAAGTTGCACATGTCTATGTTGCATATGTGTTCGCTGCATATGCAGAAGTTGCACATGTC